ACGGCTCCTGGGGGGGAGGGAAAGGCACCCTGTGAGACCTGGAAACTAGAGCAAACAAAACATGTAGCCCCAGCCCTGCACTTTCCTGCCTGTTCCTGAATAAGATCCTGCAACAATTTGGGGAAAAGGAGAACAGAGCAGCTCTGTTTGGGAGGGTGGGAGTTGGGCAGGACCAGGGGCATGGTGGGGGGACACTTGGAGCATAGATACCTTTGTTTGCTTTTCAAGTGTGCTGTGTGAGGATGGCCTGGAGCAGGTCTGGTTGGTTCCTGCTCTGAATGTTTCTCTTGGCCCCAGTTTTCCAGTCCTTTGCTCCACCTGTACAAGACCTTCCATGTCCCTTGGGCTGTGTTCCCTCCCCATTGTTTTTTCCTGGTGGCTTCCTCTTGCAGGCTGGCCTGTCTCTCACCACCCAGTGAAATCCAGGCTGACTTGAACTAGGATTTTGTCTGAGAATTTGCTGGAGATGGAATCAACACCAATTCTGGGGGTGTCCCATGGATTTTATTTTCTTTTAATCTAGCAAAATAAAGGAGGCTGCAGGGGATCCCACCCTTCGTGTTGCTTGCCTCGAGTTGCTCAGCAAGGAGCCTGATCCAGTGTCCACGTCCAGCTGTGTCGCTCCGAAGAGGTGATGGAGTTAGTGCTGCCCAGTGAGCCTGTGATTGGGCACAGCAGTCCTTGGTAGGTGAGGCCTTGCTTATGTTGCAGGACTACTGTCATAGCAAGAGAGGAGTGCTCCATTGTCATCCCTGTGGTATTCTCAGTTTCATGCGCTGCAATTAAACCACCTGCCAAATAATGATGTGGCAAATCTGGGCGGTGTGGCCTCCTCCGATCTGCTCCTGGAAACTGGGAAGATGAGCAGAGGTGGAAAACATCTGCTCTGTGCAGCCTGGGCCATGGTGATCCTTTATGGCTGTTGGTCGATCTTCAGTCTGCAGGTAAAATGTTCCCTTCCCAGACATACCAATGACAATGCCAGTTCCTCCTGGTCCCCCCAGGTTCCTCTGAAAAGAGCAAGGGCAGTGTTGCTGCCGTCCTTTGGAGCAGGGATGAATCAGCAGAGGGTGAATAGCAGGGAGGTTGGAACTGCTGTAGTCTCTCTGCAGGCACAAACTACGTGAACACATTCATCACATCCTGAGAATGCACCCCGGATTTGCTTTTACGCCTCTCGTTATTACAGGCTGGTTGGGCTTGAAAGGTGGAAATCAACTGTTTCTGACCAAGCCTGTCTCGTGGAGTCAGCAGTTCCCAGCTACCACTGGGGGCTACAAGGGGCTTTCCTGGCCTTCATAGGTGTCAGCCCAGCAGAGCCAATGCAAGGATTGGGAAGCACTCGGGGTTCACGTCCACTCCACGTGTTATTCCCTGTCTTGGCAAAGCTGGCGGGTTTGTGGCACAGACGCTTCCAAAGGTCTCATCTGAAGCCATGTCTCAGTGGAGGTGTGCCTCGTGCCACTGGTGGAAAAGTGCCACCTGGACTGGAAGGTCAGGGAGATGGCAGGTGGCACAATTTTAGCTCACCCTCTGAGGCTGTTTGGAGACAGTAACTGGGGAAATGAGGCTTTTTCTCTTATGTACAGAAGGACCACAGCAGTGCTGTGCTGCAGATCAAGGAGGGCTCCACTGAGTTCATCTCTCCCATCTTGTGAAGCTGGAGAGGAAAACTGTCAAGCCTCCTCTGCAACCGGTATTTCCAAGGAGCTGATGGGGCAGTTGGATGCAAACTTCTCTGAACAGCCTCCAAAATGCCAGTGCTGGGTGACAGAGTTGCCGTGATTCTATCATGAGTCTTGCATTGGTTGCATGTTTTCCATGGAGTCAGTTCCTGGAATCACACAATTAGGTAGGAACGTGTTCTTTAATTTTCAAGGAAGAAAGTCCATTTCAGGGTCTCCCTGGCCCCAAACCTTCTGAACCAAAGAGAAGCGAGAAGGTCCTGGGTTGGCTGTCCTGGCCATTTTGAACCATTAGTGTTTTGCAGGCAGATTCATGCTTTTAAAAATGGACGGAAAAGCCTTTATCCATTCTCTGAAACATAGTCCTTTCCATCACTTCAAGGGCTGAATACATAAAACCCGACTACTTTTTTCCCCTCTCCTCTCTAACTCAGCACAGAAGCAACCTGAGTAGCTCTGTGTCTGTGAAAACGATCCATTTTTGGGTGCACAAAACAAGCTCTGCAGGGCTGAAATGATTTTGGTGAGATCGTGGCGGCCTTTGAGGCTCTCAGCCTGTTGATGTTGCCCACGCCTCGTTGACTTCAAGGAGATTCCTGCTGGGTGTTAGTCTGGGAAAGGAGATTTTAGAGCTGATGAGCTTAATGAACTAAAACCACTGCTCGGCTGCTGCACAGAGAGTTGTGCAGCATGGGGAACCTCTGTGGTCATCCTTAGCCCATGGCCTTGCTACGCAGGAGTGAAGCACAACTCTTCCCAAAGTTAAGGATGCCAAGCTGGGCGCTGAAAATCTGGTTGTGAAAACCAAGCAGGTTCCTAAATGTGCCACGGGAGCCTAAAGCTGGGCTTCAGGGCTGGCTGGGGCTCAGCAGCCAGGCATCCACGGTCACCCAGAAACCCATCCTGTGACTTTGCTGCTGCCTGCAGGCTCTACTGGCAGCCAGAGAGGACAAAAAGGTGCTGGAAGGGTGTTTCTAAAACCTCCCTGGACTTCTACAGCTCCTTGATTGCTTTTAAGTCATGTTAGTTATTCTCAAATCCATCTTAAAAAGGGTTGCTTCAAAATCTCTGCTTCATCTTTGACTTTCCATGCCCTGTCTCAGGATGTTCTGCAATGAAAATCTGTCTCTTCCCAGTTCGAGGAAGCATACAAAGGAAAAAAAAAAAAAAAAGGCTTTTTAAGCAAGTCTGTGCCTGGAAAATTCCACGCCCTGCCGCTGAAGGAGGCTATTGCCTGGGGAGCCTTGGGGATGGGACGTGCCAGCTGGGCAGTAGGGTCAGCAGTCCCCTCTGGTCCTGGGGCAGCAGGAAGCAGGAGCATCCCCACCCCAGGGCTTTGGCAGATGAGCAATGGTGTGGCTCACCTCAAAAGGAGCTGGAGCCCTGGGGTGTGGGCTCTTGCCCCTGCACCTTTGGGGTTCATGCTGCTTTTGCATCTAAAAGAGGATTCAAGGAATTTGGGCTGCCTTGGAGGAAGGAGTGAGCTGGATGGGGAGGGTGCTGTCAGTCACACTGGTGCTGAGCATCTCTCCTTCCCCTTGACAACCTAATCAAGTTGATGAGCCCTGAATATAAAGGCTTTGACTCAGGGTAAGATAACGGTGATGACACCCATAAACATGAGGACTTTTGTCTTTTAATCACCAGCTGGATGAAGACAAGTCCTGGCAAGGTCTCTGTCAGTAGCGAGTGACCACCTTTCAGAGCAGCCTTGCACCGGGCTGCGTGTCTCTCCACCCTGGTTGGATAGCGAGGTGTGATAATCCTTTAAGCATTTAATTACAGCTGGCAGGGCTGGAGCAGACTATCTTCTGCCCCGTTCTCATCAGCCTGGACCTGTAGAAGATGAGTGGGAGCAATCCTGTGGGTTGTGTCCGCCAGGCTCTGTCCCTCCAAGCCGAGCTGTCTCAGGGGGCCCTGTCACTCCCCAGAGTCATGCCCCGTGTGGAGCCCCTGCCCTCTGCTGCCCCGGCAAGGCTTGGCTCTGGCAGGCTTGTTTTTCTAGCATGGCAAGTCTGCCTAAAATACCTAGGTGGGGCTCAGCGTGGATAATGGCCTTCCTGGGGACAGAGCCAGCAACCAGCCCTCAGCAGCCATGAGCACCCCCAGTGCCGGGGGGGTTCCCTGGCCTCAGGGGCTGGGGAGGGAGTGGAGGGCTGGATTTTGGGGCTGTGTCCACCCCTCCAGTGCCCGGCTCTGCCCCAGGGCTCTGAGCAACGGGCACCTTCCGCCTGGGAGCTGGTGACGTGGGTGTGTGCGTGAGCAAAGGCACGGCCCCGGGAGGATGGAATCATAGAATCCTAGAAGGGTTTGGGCTGGAAAGGACCTTAAAGAACATTTAGTTCCAAGTCCCCCGCCATAAGCAGGGACGCCTTGCACTAGACCAGGTTGTTCCCAGACCTGGCCAACCTTGGCCTTGAATGTTTCCAAGGATGGGGCAGCCACTGCTGTTCTGGGCAACCTGTGCCAGGGCCTCACTGCAGTCGCGGGGAAGATTCTTCTTTTCCTAACAAAAACCCTACTCTCATTTTGAACCCATTCCCTTGCAGGGGCCACTGGGGTTGGAAAGCTGCTTATTTTGGATGCAGGAGCCGGATTTTGGGGGTGTCACTGGGTATCCTGGCAGGGTCGGGGCAGGGTGTGCCTTTTGAGTGGTGCCCCCAGTGACACTGGCTGATGTCAGACACTGCCTGTAATGGTGGCACTGCGGTTTTTGGGGCTGAATCAGCCACCTTCGCCATTACGGAATCACAGAATCAATTAGGTTGGAAAAGACCTCCGAGATCATTGAGCCCAACCTGTGACCAAACACACCCACGTCCCACTAGTCCAGAGGACTCAGTGCCATGTCCACTCTTTCCTTAAACACCTCCAGGCACCCCCTCCCTGGGAATTCCTTGCTTTATCAGAATTTTGTCCATATTATGCCATCTGTCCCCTAAGAGAAAACTGCGTCAAGGGGGCCATTGCGGGCTCCCCCCGATGTAGGGGCATCGTGGGAAGCGTTATTGGGGGCTCCCCTGTGATGTGAGGGCACTGGGGGGGGGGGGCTGGGGCGGTGTTTGGGGCTTCCCCGTGATTTGGGGGAGCTGTGGGGGGGTATTGCCCCACACCCACACACACACAATGTGGGGGCGTTCAGAGGAGGTTGGGGAGGTACTGGCGGCTCCCCCCATGCTGTGGGGGGGCTGAGCTCAAGCGACCCCTCAGCCCCCCCCGCCGCGGAGGTGCCGTGGGGGTTCCCCTCCATGTCCCCGCCCCGGCCCCGCCTCAGGGGCGGTGCCAAGGGCGGCTCCGGGCGCTAAAGGCGGCTCCGGGCGGCTCCGGGCGGCCTTGGCGGGCGATGTGGCGGCGGCGGGCGCGGGCCGGGGGTCGCGGGGGGCCGGCGGCTCTCCCGCCGCTGCTCCTGCCGCTCCTCCTGCTGCTCCGGCTGCCCGCGGCGCGGCCCGGCCGCCTCTACTCGCCCTCGGACCCGCTGGAGCTGCTGGGGCCGGGGGCGGAGGGGCGGCTGCTGGGCTCCTCCAGCGCCTGGGCTGTCGAGTTCTTCGCCT